GATGGTTTGTTCCCTAAAGCCAGGACTGTCTTTTTGACAATTTGGCACAAAGACCTTAATCTTTAACCTCCTGACCTAGCATCAGAGGGAGAAGAAGCTTCTGAGTATCCCAAACCTGGGTTGAAGAATTCAGAAGATCAGCAGAGTTGCTTCCCACAGGCCATGAGGAGGGGGCAAAGAAAATCTACTGTGGTGTAGACACAAGGCTGGGAGATACAAAAAGGGATTTCAAATGTGTGTTACAGATGTTTATCTGACATGATTACAGACTCACTAAATTATTCTGGCTGCAGATATTATAGGATATAAAGAATCCTATAGCTCTTATATATTCTCTTCTCACTTTGATTATTAAAGGTCATAACTTGAACTCACAGTTTTGATATTTACAGTTAATTCTTTAAACGCACCATTCTAAGTGTTTTACAGGCTCTTGAAAGAAATTAGAAGCTGCACTAAGATCTTAATTGACAGCATAAAAAAGAGGGATAAAAATGGGGCACAAGGGCATGAGTTTTGAAGTGTACCTTTTTTATTTCCTGCAGGAAGGGTGAGGGTGTTGAGGCTTATTGAGAAACCTGATGGAAAGCAAAAGGGCTGGGTGGATAAGGTGATCTGAGTGTGGGACAGCATCATGCTGCCTACAGATCCCAGGATAAAGCACACATTCAGTCTGTCACTTCACAACTCTCCCCATCGCTTTTGCAGCTTGCCCACTGTGCTGAAATCCCATAAGCACACTATAAGTATCTCCAACTTGCCATTTTCTGCTATCGAGGAAGACTGCTCACAAGCTGTATCTGAGTCAAGGGACTACTGTAGATGTAAAATGACAATAGCATCATCACTAAGCAGATGAAACATGCTACCTGTTTCTTTACCTGCCTCTTTTCTCTAAGTATAAATATTAACAGGGTTTGTTTTTTACCTGCACAGGTAGTCATTTCACAGTTCCTAGGTTTCATTTCATAGCTTTCAAACCCAAATCATTTATTTTAATTTTAAAAAATTTGAAAATTTGATCTAAAATTTCAAATATATCTTATCAGTACAGTTATTGCAAATTGTCACTTGCTCATTGCCAAGTAAGAAAAAATATATACCCATCTTAATTCTCCGTTTTTATATTTCCTGGGGTGTATGCAGCATAAAAGCTCACACAGCCAAGAAACCAGTGAGGTCCAGATACCTCACAAGATGGAACCCAAAGATCCCCAGCCTGGTTTCCTGTTCTATTTTCTGTGCACACTGTTACATTGTAATGGAATTTCACTAATTAATGATGCTGCTTTCACACTTAACACCAGTCCTGCTCCTGGGCTGTGGCTGGGGTACATGCTCCCACAGTAGCTCTCCCCAGTGATTGGAAAACTGCAATTACAGTTGGACACTTAGGAGTATCCTGGGTCTGCAAGTCCCTATTTCAAATTACTCAAAGCAGCCAGTAATACAAATATCATCAGTCATCCCCTCCACATACAAAATGCACAGTGTGAGGCACACAGCTCTCCTTCTCTGAGCATAATCACAAAGACATACCTTCCCCCACTCTACATTTAAGAAAGCACAAAGTATCACTAGAGAAAGTTTGCAGTCACCACTTTTGCATTTTTCCCCTTAGCTTCATTAAAATTTGTTGCCTTCCTTCCTACAGAGCCTATCCAATGGAAAACAGGAATAATTTCCCCCCTTTATTTTTTTTTTTTTTCAGTGATCTTGCATTCTTTTTAATCATTCTGTATTGTCTGGGCAGGACATTATTTTTGTACTCTGTGCACTTTCTGATTCCAAATGAAAATGAGCACTGAAAAAGATCTTTAATAAACTAGAAACATTTCTTTGTGTAAGAAAAAAAGGTTCCCTCCAGAAAGTTTATGCATAATGAAGGTGAAAAATTAACATGGAACTGGTCCAGGATGGTTTCATGCATCATGCTTTGAGATTGTATCATATGTCTTGCTTCTAGTAAGCATTTGACATGCCTCAGAATATGAAAAAAAAAAGCAAAAAAGAAGTCATGTCTACTATGTTAGAACCAGTGGATTTCAATTGTTTTAGTTTACTAGTTCTTATATATGTTTAATCAGGATGAAAATATTCCCAACGCAAAAGGTATGACTTCCCTAAGACAGCCCCAAAAAAATATTTTTATAATCCTATTAATAAGATATATGCCTATCTCATAGACCCTATAAATACTAAACCCAGCATAGAAATGAGTGGGAAAAGAATTTGGCATGATCATTAGCAATGTTTTCAAGAAGAGAGACTACTGAATAAGATATATAAGAAAATAACTACAAGAAAAGAGAGTAAGAGAAAAACTGAAGCCACCACAATGTCTGGTTGTCTTTAAAAATCTGCAAACTAGTGGCAAAAGTGTCCAGATTAACCTTCTAGGCTTTTAGGCACAAAGCAGCCTGACACCCAAAAGTAAAAAACAGCTCATCTACTTATGTGCCTAAATTCTGGGGTGCTCAGCAAGTCCCAACATGCCTAAAAGTCATGTTGGGTACCCACCAGGTTTCATTCAGCCTGAGTGAGTGAGCAAACACTACTGGAGTGGATGCAAAGACACACTGCTGTATTTTTAATCAAGTTTATTGACTTCTGAAGAAACTGCAGTTCGAACCACATTTGTAAATCACACCACCAGTTGTCTTCACGAACTGTAAAACTTTTAGAGAATCTTTATGCACAATGGTGGTAATATCATGGCTTTGGAAGTTTGCTTCTGCCATGGTCACTCATTTTGGACATTACTTGTTCTTTGTAAAAGGGGTTGTTAAAGAGCTGCCAAAGCAAGAATTGTGTCGCAAGGAGTATTTTTATCAAAATTATGACAAGATTCTTCTGCACTGGTGGCCTGGAAAAGTATGCTATATTTTCCTATAAACAGATCTTCTGCAAAGAAAGCAGAACTTGAAGTTCTTGAACTTCAGATAAAAATACTGAGCATTTTAGTTGGTAACACGTGGGAAAGTGGAAGACCTGCTGGTAGGAAGTTATCTTTTTTAGTCCTAGAAGCAACAGAAGACAGGTCCCAGACATGCTTCCACCATCCACCCAATGGAGCAAAAAGGAACCTTACCACCCCTGCTGTAGCAGTGTAATATCATGCAGCTCTTCCTTTGTGGGATTACTACAGTACCATATAAACCTCTTAGCTGCAGCTACTGAGGGACTTTTACAGCATTGCCTTGACACAGCAGGATACTTGCTGTTTCAAGACCCTAGGTTAGAGCCCAGATCTCCCTAGTGCTCAAGCTGAACAAAATGGAGCTGGATTTCCACAGTGTGCCACTTTGGGGAAACAGTTATGGCTCAGTAGTCGTATTTTTAGGATGCTCAGTGGAGGAAGCTTGACACTGGTCTGCAGAAGACAGAACAGCTCAGCTGGTAGAGCTCTAAGAGGAACCTGTTTGCTGAGGAGAACATCCTCACCCTCTGTGTAAGTACATGTGTTGGGCTGAAGCATCCCGAAGAGGAGGAGACCTGCAGGGCAGGTTTAGCTCATGCCCCTTCCAATCAGATGACAAGCTCCAGAAATGCACCAGGGACCAGAATATACATAGTATACATAGTCCAAACTAAAGCTACCCTGAAATGTACAGAGAATGACGAATTCATATAGAATGAACCCTTGCAAATATGCCTTAAGACAGATTTTGGCAAGCCATGGCAGCAGTCTCCCTTCCACACAGGCATATCTGTATTTCACATGGATTATGACAAAATTAGAATTACTTATATGATATAATGCTGCACTCCACTAAAACCCAAAAGGGACTCTTATCCCATGGAATATTCTAACCCCGTGCTTCAGAGGAGCCTGGTAACTTTATCATGGCTGTGCCTTCTTAAGTGCTGCACCACATTATAATTGAAGACTACTAAAATATGCTAATCATGATTAGCAAATTTTAAAAACTCTTCCTAAACAGCAATGCTGAAGTACCATTAGTTGAGCTGGGAAATCACATTTGTCACCAACTAAGGACTAAAACAGGAAGAAATCAAAGATTTGTTCACTATAAAAGTTCTCAAACCAACTGAAAATATTTATTACACTGCTACAAACCATCAATAAAATAATTCTTTTTATAAACTTGTACTATCATGGTTACAGGAAGTAGCTGCTAGGTTGAAAGACTCCTGTAGGAGTGTGCTCCTTCTCCAAGAGGAACAAATTTGCATAGAAACATGCATTGTTAAAATGATAAAAATCATCATTAGAATTTGTGTCACAAACTATCTATTGCAATTCTCCTGCACTTTTCAAATATCAAACCACAAAAGCACCCCCAGAAGTCTGCATGACACTGTAGGAGCCTCAAAACCATCAAATTTATATACCAAGGTCACCACACTCATCTGTGTATAACACAGATAAGATGCGTTGAATTTGAAAAGGATAGATGTTACCTGTGCTGAGCTACTGTGCTGGGAAAACAGAGCAGCACCAGCAAAGTCATAAATTGCTCAAGTGGCCCCAGCTAGTCAGGGTTTAATACTGCTCAGAGGAGTCAGTCATGGGAAACATGAGGTCAAGCTATATTGGGGCACCAATTCCTAGTCTTTAAAATAAATATGCCCCCCTCTAAATGCAAGATCAACACTTTTGTTATGAAACACCGACTAAAAAAATCTGTTGCCGTCTCCTGCATGTGCCACAGCAGGTATTTGTGGGACTGCTGCAGCGACAAACCTGCTCAAGCAGCAGCGCTCAGGTCGGTATGTTAATGAATGGATGGTTGATGGATGGAGGGATGCGCCGTTAAGCCTTCAGAGCTGGACAAAGCATCAAAACGTGCAATCGCTTTCCACTTTGCCAACTCCCCTTCACATTATCGTTAACATCAGAGCCCATGTGTGAACTTTCACAGAGAAGTGTCCTCAACGATTATTCTCTCTTAAGTTCGCGCCCTGGCGGCAGTGGCTGCCCCGGTGACTCCCGGCCAGCCCAGCCAGCCCCTCAGCTTCGCTGTCCGCTGCGGTCGGGCCCGATCCCGCCGGGGTCACCACACACGGTCCGCGGCGGGCAGAGGTGCGCTCCGCTCCGCGCATGCGTGTGCAGTAGGGAATTGTTGCTCCGCTCGGCGCGAAGTTGCAGTCCGCGGCTCTTCCCCCGTGAGGCGGCGGCGGCGCGGCCGGAGCCGGGATGGGGTGCGCGATGGCGGCGCGGCGGGAAGGCTCGCGCGCCCTGTTGCTGCCGCTGGTACTGGCTGTGGCGTGCGCGGCGCGCAGGTGAGTGCCGCCGGGCAGCGGAGGGGCGTAGGCATGGGCTTGCCCGGCTGCCTCTCTCACCTGCCTGTGCTCCTTCCGGCAGCGCCGACGGGCCCAGCAACATGTCCTACGTGAAGGAGACGGTGGACAGGCTGCTTCAAGGCTACGACATCCGCCTCCGGCCCGACTTCGGAGGTGAGGCGCCCGCGCTGCCCGGACCCCCACCCAGACCCCCGAGCGCTTCCCTCCGCCTAACGCCGCTTCCCGCTCCCCCCCGCAGGTCCGCCCGTGGATGTGGGCATGCGGATAGAGATCGCCAGCATCGACGTGGTCTCCGAAGTCAACATGGTAAGTGCTGCCCGCCGAGCCACAGCGCCGCCTGCCGGAAGTGCCGCCCCGCCCTGCGGTGAGCGCCCCCGTGGGTGCGCCCAGCCGCGCCGGCAGCGCGGTCCCGAGGGGACCGGCTGCAGAGGCGAAGCGAGCACGGAGCGCCAGCGAGCACCGTGACATAGCCAAGAACATCGCGGTTGCTAGGAAAAGTTAGTTGAATTGTTGAGATAATGTTTGCATGCCTGAATGGGCACTCCAGAAGTGCGCCCTGCCTTTCTGATCGAAGTACCTGCTGCAGGTCTGAGGTTTGGGTGCTGCTAGCAGTGGTTTGCCCTTTGTGTAGTCTACAGCTGTCTTCAGAAATGCTGGTTTCTTGAGCTGTAGGAGCTGATGGACAGGTGTGCTTTTCTTCCTGTTAAATGATTTAAAGAGACATTTTGCAAACTAGTGGTGTTGAGTAAAAGGTGCAAAAAAAAAAGAGAAGAAAAAGCTTCTAGAAAATACTCTTTCTTGTAGAAGGAAAAAACCCCAGCACTGCAGATTAAGTCCACGAGGACGTTGCCTATCCAGCTGTCAAAATCAGAAAAGTCTCCTAGCTACAGGTGTGAAACAGCTGCATTTGATGCCAGTTCTGCTGCTGGAAGGAGTGCTGACAGACATGCAAACTTAATGGGCAAAAATACATCTGTATAGTGCTTTCCTCGTTTGACAGCCTTTTCCCAGAAGAAAACAAAAAAAAATCGGGTACAAATTTGAATATTTACAAAATCATCTTGAATTAGAATGTACCATGGGTGTTTTGCTCTCACTCTCTTCTCTTATGTTTGGTCTCAAGAAAATCTAAGATGCTTTCTTTCCATAGGGGAACACCTGTTTAGTTAAAAGTTAGTTAAAAGAAGCTAGAAACCTTACATTTCTATCCCGATCACTTCATTTCACTCAAAAATAAGTGATATTTGCCCATACAAAGTAATTTACCCTGCAGTGGGGATTTTTTCCATGGTATATTAGTTGTCATTAAAACAATCTCATCAGAGATTGTTCCCATCTTTATTTTTTTTTTCTGTTTGTTATGTATACACACAGTTCCTGTTTGTGTGTAACTGGTATATTTGCTTATGAATATGCTTGGCAGAATGGGGAGGCAAGGAGATTCGTCACACTGCTGCATCACACCAGGCTCTGCAGAGTGTTAATACCACACAACAACAACATATTTTAAGTTTCAGCTCCTGGAGTTCTTGTTACTGTATTGTGCTTTCAGGGAGGCTCATGGTAGAGACTGTGCATATGAGGCAGAGAAGACAGAACATTAGACCTTGTCAGAACAGTCGAAGAACAAACCTCTTCCAACTCCAACCAGTTTCTGACACCCTGTAATGGGATTGCTGCTTCTACAAAGCGGTACACCCTGGGAAAGCCAAACACAGGAAACACTATCGCAAAAATACCTGCCCTGAAATGTCCAGAACTTACTTGTAAAGTCTCAACACCTGAAACTATTAATTTGGAGGAAAATGGGTGTGGCATTTTCCAATGGCAATGTCACTGCAGGGCATTAACTCCCCTGCACCAGCTCACAGCATTTCTGCTAATCTTTGATGGATCCAGCATGCAAATCCCTCCTCCATTCCAGTGCTTACACAGCCCTTTGGAAACTGTAATTTGAACTTTATGGTTTTTAATCAAGGGAATTTACATGCTAGATGGATTATGTGGCTAATCTCCACTTGCAAGGGGCAGCTTGACTAAGACTGGTCAAAAAAATGTTTTCATTTCATAAAATGTCATATCTCTCACAGTGGAAGAAAGCACCTATTCAACAGGCAATTGAAAAAACAGTCCCCATTCTGAATCAGTCTGAAAGGAGCTTTCCCATATTGCAGATGCTTAGCTGTATGTACCCATGTCTAGAGTGTTTTTTGTTGCAAGGTCTTTATTGTGTTGCTAAAGACTGTTACACAGTCTTTTGGACAACAAACAATAATTTCATCTGTCTTTGCAGATGAGATATCAGTCCCCTCATTTCTGCACGAGCAGTTATTACTGATGGTGTTCACAGAATTCACAATCTGTCTTTGCAGAAATGAGGGGACTGATATCTGATCTAGAAAAAAATTTCTACCTAGTAAAATAATGCTTTATTCTCGCTTTTTTTTTTTTCTGAGAATCACAGCCTTGAAATGCTTAATGTTACAGCAACCTGTGAATCATTCACCTTCTCTTCTTTCATTTTAAACTATTGGCTTGTAGATTACTTTTTGTTCAGTAAGAACTACCATTCTGTGGCTTCAGAGCCAGAAATGTTTACAAAAAGATGCTGGTTTATAGCTTCTGTTGTCTATGGGGCAGTTTTGCTGCTTGAAGGAACTGGTAACACGAGCAGAGAGAGCAACACCTTCATACTGGGAGCTCCTCCTGGCAAGAGAGTCTGGTTGGACTCCACCAGAGTTCTGTTCAGTCAGTCTCACCCCGGCAGTATTGGAGGGAGTTGTCTCATCCCTTGGCTCTCCTCAGGCACATGAAACCTTATTTCCAGAATGACAGAGGCAGCTATTCCAAATCCTGGTACCCAGAGGGAGGATTAAATTTTCTATTCCCATCTCAGTGCTTAAACAAGAGCAAAGATTAAAATAATTATATACACACACACACATATATATAATACACCTAGCCAATGAAGGTGTACTTCTTTGGTGTATTAGCTGAGAATTTGTAATGTAGGCTGTCTGCCAGGTCAACAGGCTGATCTCTATGTCCAAATCCAGTTGAAGTATAGGCAACAGAGCTATTGTGAATTCTGTGAACAGCATCAGTAATAACTGCTCATGCAGCTTGTCTAGTTGTAGTGGCTTCTTCAAATATAGTTAAATGTTGTGAAATACTTTACTGGTAAATGAATCAAGACTTGCACAGCCTTGAAGTCAGCCTTTCTGTTATTTCTCCTGAGTACTTGGCCCTCATCTGTCCAGCTCTTTAAACTGTATTGTTTTATAGCTGCCTGGTAGTTCAATAATACTGTAGTGAGTGGCTATAGCAGCTTTTACAGAAGGATTATTTGAAGCTCTCATTATTGTAACTCTCCCATTTGGCATCAGATATATTGTCATATATTGATTTTTTGCAGGTAATAAGCTGAAGAGCTTGTCAGACATCAAACAAGCAGGAGAATTAGAATATAAAAGCCCTAATGACCGTTGCCTGTTTCTTACTGTACTTTCTTCTGAATACCATAAGTTTTAATCTGTTTCCTTGAGATAATTGCATTCTTACTACACTGATAGCAAGCATTCACTTCCAAAAGTACAAGATGACCCTTTGCTTTGTCTTAGTTAATGGTTGTTCAGCTACCTTTCATCCATGACAGGTTTCTTTAGAAGTATATCAGACATTAACATGAATATAGAGAGTTCATTAACAACCTGCTACAACTATTAAGCTGCTGTGACATGAATTATCTGGTTTACTCCAATACCTTTACATGGTTAACAGAAGGTGCTGCTTGTACATCAAGAATAAAGAATAAAGAATATTCATGATTCATGAAAAAGCATGATTCATGGCAACTACTGTGAAGCTTTAGGGAAAGCACACAAATAGCATATTGGTGCATCTACTAGGAAACAGTGAAGAAGTAGCTGGACTCTGCAAAGAAAATACACATGCAGTACGTGACATAATTTTCTCTAAAATGCTCCTCCTGAGCAGGTGGTCAAACCTTCATACCAGGCAAAAGATAGCTGCACATGTTCTAAAATTTTGAAAACTAGTGTACATGATAAAAAACTTCTTAAAATGCAGTTAAAAGAGACACCAAATTTTTTTTTTTAAAAAAAGCTCATTATTGTAGAGTGGGAACAGTGTTCCTAACCTACCATACTGATTACACTGATGAAGATTTGTTTTATATGATAGCACATTGAAAGCTTTGTGTCCCAGCAAAAAAGAGGGTAAAGAAAACACAGAATATATAATTCTTCTGTTTCTGTGCACCCCAATTCACTTTTACTCAAGGCTCTTACATTTATCTGATCTCACAAATAAGTCACAAATCTTGCAGAGAAGCAGGATCTCATCTGTTGCCTACTGTTCAAAACTCACTAGCTGCTTCTCAAAATCTCTCCCTTAAGTAGTTTCTTTTATGCTGGCAACATCCCAACCTGTTGGATTACATCTTTTTGCACCAGAAAAAAAATTAGTTTAGCTTAAGGCACTTACTTTCTGTGTCTTTTTGAGAAAACAGATAATTAAACAAACCAGCTGCATAGATTGTCTTTTTTTTTTCATCCATTTTACATGATACCACCCTCTCATATTCTGTCTCAATCCTTCTAGCCCATATGATTATATGTAAGAAATTGAACATAGAGACAGCCATTATCTTCTGGTGCGTCTTTGACACCATGGCTTATGCTGAATGATGAAGTCGTGTTTGAAGCGCAGGGTAGACCTGCATGTAACGTTTGATCCTTTACTTTGTCATGACTACAGATTATTATTGGTTTGGAAAATGAAATTTCTCCCACAGTGCTTAAAGCTCCACTGCCTATGTTATCAGAGACCTTTTTCTACTACACCTGTTTATCTTTCCCTGGAAGCAATATAGTATTTCTCTTTTTTCCTTTTTTCTTGCTTTAGGGCTGCTCCCAGGCCTGCTGCTGAAACACTGGCTTACATTACAAATTGAATCTAAGAGAAATGTGTTTTCTGGTATAGTAGAAGTTTTTTATAGGCTTACAAACAGTTCCATGTCTGAAGGCTTGACTATATTAGTTAGTTTGGAGCATCTTTCTTTGTTCAGTTTGGGTAGTGAACAGTTTGCAAATGTGGAAAAATGAAGAGCAAACCTGTGTTTTCGCACCACATGATCTCTAGAAGGAATTTTATTGTTTTTCAGAGTGTGTCTTTCTGGGATACTTCATGCTATGTCTGTTTGAATTTTTACAGAATAATTTTGTATATAACAGTGTTGATGTATTTTACTTCTTTTCAGATCTGCACAGGTTTACTGTATTTACTGTTTATCACCAATCTGACTGTTCAGTTTCCTTTAAAAAATGACTGAAATCAACAGAATATATTCCAAACAGTCTGAACATCAGAACCAAGTCAAATGTATAAGCAGCCTCTGCCTGAGCAAATACCACTCTGCAGGTTGAGACAGAGGATTAGACTTTTTGTTGAGTTGTATAAACAGTAATAAAGAAGATCATCTGCATCCACAGCTGCATGAGCAGGGCAGAGCCAGTAGGCTGAGGTAACTGGTTATCTCTATTTAGGACTTGCTAGATGACATCTAGGTTCTGTGTACAGGAGAGAAGCAGAATGCCCAGGGTGGCTCTACAGTCTCCATCCTTGGTGGTCTGCAAGACCTGACTGGATCAAGCTGTGAGCAACCTGGTCTGACTTCATAGCCAAATTTTTCTATTTTATAAAACAATGATTAGTTAACACATTCAGGAGGCAGAACTCCCCTTAACATTAATAAACATTCACTGATGGTCTGCTGTGCCTACTCTCAAGAGTTCTGAGACAGTCACACAAGGTGAATTTGACAGAATAAATACACAGAAATGTTTTCAAATTTACCTATAAATCCAAAGCAAGGATATAGATGCCTTCAGGGCCTAAAGGAATGGAAGGGTTTCACCTTACTTTAGGGCTAATGCCAGCCCAGATGACTGTGGCATCCTGCACTGGTAGGTTTCTAGTCAAAAAGTTAAATCTGTGGGTTTAAACATTCAGGCTGAGTAGGGCTTAGAACCAAGGCACTGAAAGTTTGCCCGTTAATCCTGGCAGGCCAGTGCTCATACATTGGACTCCAATTTTAGGAATGATAGACTTTCATGTATGGGTGCAGGTTACCTTAAGGCACTTTCTGCAGGCTGAGGGAGGCTTAAGATCTGTTTATAGACATAGAGTTTCGCATTTGTTTTGTTCTTTTTCCCTGGCTGAGAATTTAGCATGGTGGCTGTTGTGAATCTCAATGTAGGAAACAATCTACACTAGGGAGCCAGGTCAGCATTATGAACCCCATCTTGTACCCCTTTGCATCAGAGCAGCCAAGTCAATTTTTTTAAATCTTAGGTCTGGTTCCTGGAGAACTAAAAAGTAAAACTGCTTCAGCTCAGCCAGTGAGGCAATAGAAGTGATCAGGGTAGTCACAATGACAATAAATGGTCCTTTGTCTAAATATATTTGCCTGAAGATATACATGCAGATTAAACTGATTTTTTAAAGTGACATAAAACTCAGTAACTGTTAATAAAAATTTGCTTAGCTGTAGTGCAGAAGAAAGGAGTACTTTTCTGTTACGTGGCAACTCTTCTGAAGAGCATGAAGGACATGCAAAAGTACTTGAATATTAATAAGAATGTTCAACAACTGATTTTACTTTTTTTCCCAGCAAATACAGAAAAATTAATCGAGCAGTAAAACATAAAGGTCAGCTCATTTCATCATTGTCTATTCCAAACAGGAGTAATTATATTAAAGAGTGAAACATGGAATGAATGTATAAATAGGCAGCTTGAGGTTAAATGATTGGATTGCTGTTACTGGATGTTTTCTTGGTTTTTTTCTCATTGACTTCATAAATCAGCAGCTTTTCAACAAAATTAACAGGTACGCAAAAAGAATAAAGCAATAGCTTAAATGTTGTTTGATATGGTCCAGAAAGTGGATATATCTTGGTTTCTCAAAAGTTAAACTAAACTGAGACTAGCTTCAGGGTTGATAAAAGCTGTAGTCCAAGATCTTCCTTTTAGCCTGACAGGCACACTACTTCCCTGATTTCAAGGTTTAAACAAACTAGATATGAGTGCCCTTCATAAAAAAGGTGTCATTCTTTTATCTGATGTTAAACTCACAGTTTCCTACAAGGGCAAGCTGATTCCCTCAATTATTTCTCCTAGCCACTGGAGGTGGCTTACCCTCAATTTCCAGCTTGTCTCAAGAGCTGATAAGCTCAATTTTGACCTGTGTACGTTACCTTTTAGCCCAGATTTTACACCTGACACCACCGGCCATCCTGACACATCTGTAGTCCAGCCATATAATATAACTTGTGCAGAGTTTACATTTCTGAAGACAAGAAATAAAGTAGTCACACTTCCAATTTGTTTAAAATATTTTCTGAGAATAGCATGAGATGACAAAGGACAGAAAATTAAGAATCATTTTAATTTTTAACGTAGGGGTTTTTTGTAAGCTGCTGCTTACCCTCTTCTTTCTCCTAAGCATGGAGTCGAGAAAAGGATCCAAAACAACTGCAGGTCTGAAATATGATGGTATTACTGTGATGAACTGTCAAAAATCTGTTCCACTGGAGTAAGTGACTACCTGCAAAGGAAAAGACCATGTTCTCTTAATCATGCCCTAAACCACTTATCCAGCCATTTCTGGTTCCTGAAACCTACAGTTAATTGTATCACTGTGGTAAGCAGTGGTGCATATGAAATGGGAGGGGTGACACCTTCCCCCTGTTTAGTGGAAGCTTTAGCACCCAGTTTGGGGTGTCTGGGGTTTCACTTAAATAAGGAGCATACCTGTAGTGAGATACGCTTTTCAGTTAGGTGGATGAGAAAATCCAAGGTTTTCCCCAGCTCTGCCTTCTTGCGGACCGGCATCGAACAACATCAGCTGCTCTGTCGCCACCTTAAACTTGCAGCTTCTGGTCTTCTAGTGTGCACAAACCCCACGGTTCAATGGCACGAGCCTTTTGAAACATTCAAGGGTCTCAAATGATTCTTCAATAATGGAAAAGTCAATTATTCACACAAAAGACCCCTTCCCCCAAATTAACTGCTTTTGAAATCTATAAGTAAATTTTAATTTCTTCTAGGAACATGAAAGATGTTTCTTTTCTTGTGTGTGACAGGGGAAGGGCTTAAGTAAAAGCTTTCTTTTCATTTTTTCCTATTGTATTGCCTTTTTACTTCTGATTCCGGAGAGGAGAGAATATCAGAATTTTCTGAACTAAGCATTTTTCTTTATAAAGAGGTTTAAGGGATATATTTCAAGTGCCTGCAAAACTTAGGTTGTTTTGTTTGGTTTTTTTTTCTGTCCTTTTTGATTTTATGCTTTTTAATCAGCTTTACTTTGTACTCTATAGCCTGAAAAGTATTCCTTAACTCCCCTAGGCTGTGTTTATAAATTCTTTACCAACTGCAGTTCAGTACAGACTAGGAGTTGAAGCTGTGCAACAAAGAGATGCAACAGTCACACCACCAGTTCTCCCTGTAGTGGGAAAAGATCCCAGCCTCAGGGGAGGAACAGTAACAAGCTCCAAAGCTAGTACCAGAAAGACTTGTTCCTGTGGACAGGATGCCAAGTGCTCTGGGACAACACCTGAAACTGTTAAAGCAAATCCAGAGATTGCCATCATTCAGAAGTATTTCCAGCTGATGTGTTTTACTGATCACTGCATTCCAAACAGCAGCTGCCTAGAAGAGTTCTCTGGGGTCTCATCTTCCATCCATCTAAGTGTGCTGTATTTTAAAGCATCAGTAAAGCCTGAAAAAAACAACTGTAAGGGCTTCTAGCAGGTGATGAAAGAGTCCAGGGTGGCTACCAGAAAGATTTTGTACTTTAATGCTCTTTGAGATTCCTTTTCTTCTTGTAAAAAAAAAAAAGAATTCAGGATCTCAAGGTACACACTACCATTCTTCTAGAATTCCTCTTCCCTCATATCCAATACTGCCTGTAACTCTGGCAGTGCTCCAGAAAGCATATTAAAATGAAATAATTTCCACCCCAAAGGCTAAACTATTGCAAGTATGTTCACAAGGAAATCTGTAGTAGCATTCACTGCGTAATTTAGCTTAATAACACCAGATAATGCAGTTTTGTTTATTTTTTAGCTTATAGCAGTAGCTCTGTATTAAGATTTACGTGGGCTGAAGAAAGTAGATTAAATTACTTGCCTATCAACATTTATGATGACCTCTTAAGATTAAAACACTGCTTTTAGCTGAAGCAGTGTCACAAGGAGGTTTGCTCCATCCTCTGCTGGGGTAAATCCTTAAATGTTTTGTGTTATGTCATGAACAAAGGAAAGGTAATTTAAAATGCACAAAGACAGCTCCTAGAAAGCTGCATTATCACACACACATCCACCCTGTAGCGAGATTGAGTTGTAAAGCTTTAAGTGTTCATGATAGAGTGCGTAGTTTCAAAGCAAAAAATAATGATTTTAGACTGCCAAACTTAATTAAAGGTTGGAATAAATGTTCTCCATTAAAATTCATCAATCCATTTGGCTGAGATGGAAGAATTTCAGTCATGTCTTTCTTAATTGCCTGTAGAAAGAACAAAAGACAGCAAAGTTAAAACTGTTGCAACAGATACATGCTGTCTAAATATTATTCAGGAACTTAATCATATTAAAAGAGGAGTGAAATTTATTCCCCAGCATATTTTTAACCTGAAAAGACTTAAGTTTATCTGAAGTAACATGAGTAGCAGTCAGCTGCAGGTATATATGTTCCGGCCTGTGTATTTTGGGAACTTCTAGGCAGTGTTAATTCCCACAAAGTGCTGAGGGCTCTGGTCCCATGCAGGCAGGCTAGAAGCTGATAGTCCAGTTGGTTTCAATGAGTATGCTCATGGACGAAGTTTCTCACCAGTAACATTAACTACGTATTAGCTTTACCAGTTCAACAGTTTACTCATCAGTCTGCAGAAGCCATCCAGTTCTGCGGTTTACATCAGTTTTAAGCCATTGTTTCCTGATAATTTTCTGTGCCATTACTCTCCAGCATGAGAGAATAACCGAGGCTGGGGCGATACCCTCCCAACCTTCCATGATGATTTATTCTTTTTTTAACCAATTTTTTTGCAAACTGTTCACTTCTCAAAACAATACACTAGTCAAGGAGAGAAATGGATGTGGTTCAGGGGCTTCATACATATACTGCATTTCACAAGCAGTGCAGCCTTGTCACTAGTTTCTTGTGAAGGAAACAAAATGTGGAATTAACAGCCACCTGTAAATTCTGGGTTTATTTAGTCTACTGTGCCAGGAACAACTGGGGGGGGGAAATAACCTGCAAAACTTCAGTAACATGTTGAGAATCAAATCTGCCATGGCAGACTTCACAGCTTGTTCAGTGCTCCATGGATTCCTAAACTAATGGGGAGCACATACAGTGTCATTATGCTGTCAATTGGAAATGAATCCTGAATGTAGATCTTTTCAGTCCCCACTATCAAGGGAAATGATTTTGTTTTCCAGAAGCACAGTGGGGATATGAATTTCTGAGATCTCGAGGAACGTTTATATTCCAGATATCCCATTCTTTTCTTTTAATTACTCCTGATAGAAACTCAGAGTAAGCACAGAGCAAAGAATTAGAAGGACTAGCATATTTCAGAAAATATAAAGGTAAACATAATCAAGTAGTAACCATATAACTCACAGAAGTCATCCCGGCGCTTCTCAACAATGTGACATGGTCTAACAGAGAAAGTTGCTCTTTGAGGAAGTTCTTGACCTGGATCAATTCAGTGAGCCAGTTTCAAATAGGAAGCTAAAAATTCTAGAGTGAGACCTCATTCTGGAGCATCTCATCCAATGGACATTTTATCATGCCAATACTAAAAATATACCATAATGCAAAGCTTTCACTGTTCCCCTCCCAGAAACTTATAATCCTAAATGCAGTTTAAACTGTTCTGCACTTTAGATAACACCAGGGAAATACCACTGCCAGTGACAAAATAGGGAAATGTGGTCCATGATCAGTCCATCCACTGTCATCCTCTGGATGTGATCTCCTCAGTCTCTCACTTGAACATGGATGTTTTGAATCATAGCAGCCCTCCAGTATCTGAAGGGGGCCTATAAGGATGCTGGGAAGGGACTCTTTGTTAGGGACTGTTGTGGTAGGGCAAGGGTTAATGGATTCAAACTTAAACAGGGGAAGTTCAGGTTAGGTAGAGCGAAGAAGTTCTTTACTGTAAGGGTGGTGAGGCACTGGAATGGGTTGCCCAAGGAAGTTGTGAATGCTCCATCCCTGGTGGTGTTCAAGGTAGGGTTGAACAGAGCCTTGGGTGACATGGTTTAGTGTGATGTGCCTCTGCCTGTGACGGGGGTTGAAACTAGATGATCTTAAGGTCCTTTCCAACCCTAACTATTCTGTGATTCTATACCATCCTTGTTGGTCTCTGGCCATTTTACAGTGTGACGCTGGTACAATATCATTACACCACTCGCTATGAAACACCATGATTTTTAATTTAGTTTAGTGCCTTCAAAGTACTTGTAAGCACTCCAGTTTGTTAAAGAAGAGACGTTAAATATATACCATAAATTACTTATTATGGGGTATTAATATTAATTCTTTATCTCATCATTAAGAGTGAGTGCAGCACTGGCAAAGAGCAGCAGAGCCATCAGTAGTGTCCTCAGTGTCAGGTGTTTACTTTTCACATCTGCAGAAGCCAGAAGCAATTAAAATTATAGGTCAACTCCTGAACTGCTTGCTTCTCTCAAAGAGTAACACAGAACAAAGGATCATCCAGAAACACTGCTGACTAAGTTGTCCAATTTAAAGGTTGCTTTTCTTTCTCAAAAGGAAAGAGAAAATTGACTTATTTTTGTTTTTTAAATCGGTTTACAAGTCACTTTTTCTCTCGAGGTAATAACACTCCTGTTTATACCTACTCTTCTCCTGCGTCAAGGTAGCTGTTAAGCTACTATCTTATTGGAAACAAATACACTTTTTTTGAAGATTAAATATTAATCTGCAGATGATTCAAACATGTATTATTCAGGCAAGTTTGTTACATGAGTTTATTGCAGGACCTGATGGTTTCAATGACTTTTGCACAGCTTGTATTCAGAAATCCAGGCAACAGTGGTGCTCCAGATCATAGAGAACAGGTGCAAGGGGAGCTGCTGACAGCAACCTGTTGTTCCAGGGAGCAACGTGAGCACCTGACTCCACAGGAGAGGACTGCTGGCTGAGCAGGGACCCTGCTGATCTCACTGCTACTCTGCAGGGCCCATCAGGTCAAGCTACTGTCATGACAAATGGCTAATTCTTATCATCATATTTAAAGCAGGAATACTGTGGTTTAGATTAGTTTTTATAGGACTACACAAAACCTTTTACAGTGCAGTCAACATTTTTTCTAAGTTTCAGGGTTGCTGTATTTCCAAAGATGTTTGATGGGCTAGAAGGGAACTTGAACTAAAGCAGGTAGATCTATATTCCTTACTTGTTGTGGATTTTTTTCTCATCCACATAATTACAGTGATGGAGAGTTCAGCACAACATTGAGGGAAAGGGATTAAAAAGTATGGAGCTCTGTACTTAAAACATTATGAATTCAATATACCAATTACAATGCATAATATTGCACTTGTTAGTCAATATTTGCATGCCTTTCAGTTACAGAAGTGATCACTATAATACATTGTAATACTCAAGAACTCTGGAATACAAATCTAGACAAACTTTAGGCAAAAGTAAACCAAACCCCATTTGGAACCGATACACTTTGATTGAAATACTTTAGTCTGCTAATACTTAGCTATATACATGTGCTCCTGAGTCACAGAATCATAGAAATTCTGTAAAAGAAAAACATATTTGAAACCTAGATAGGGAAAAAGGTGTTCCCATTTATTAGTTGTTCTTCCACTGAATATCGGCTTCAAAGGGCTCTTCTGGAGTACACAGAGCATAGAAGTGCTCAGCCCACATTGTCCTTTGGTTAGGTTCCACTGAAATCACTGAGAATGCATCAGTAATGAATCAAACCAGACTTACTCAGGCTGATTGTTCTTTCCTGCAGTAATTGCATTTTCTTGCAAAATGCTACCTGTAACATTAATAAAATCAAAGCAAACCGAACTGTTCTTAACAAACAGAGACATCAAGGAAAATCTTTTCAAAATGCTGAATTTTTATGCTAAAGCTTTTGAGATTTCAGTAGCAAAATGCAAACAAATAAAAATGAGCAAGTGAAAAAAAAAACAAGAAGCCTGTTACCCTCTCAGGAATACATTCTCTGTTATTTCAGTCTTGGCTTGCAGACAACTTGTTTTTTCTTACAAGCTTTTCTACAATTTCCCTGCTACTATATCCATCCATCCTACCCTAACATTTAAATGTTAGTATAAAAAGTTATCAGTCTTTCTGACAGTAATCTAAGATCTCAGTTTCCTTATTCTACATTGAGCCAGCCTCAGTGGAAACAAAATGAATGTGAACAGCTACCTATGGATCTTCTTTTTGATTATTCACACCCACAGCTACATTATCAGAATGGATATGAGAATGAATCACTTCTGTGCTCTGTAGGTATGAGTGTTCAGCTGCCTTTGATTTTATTTGTATATTTGTCTTTAAATTAAGAAATCAGAATAGGTCCATGATAGGAGCTTTGGATTTTATGCTGAACTGTGGAAATATGTGGGTGTTAACACTTCTTCCTCACAGCGATCATGACACTCATTGTAGTGGCAGAACAAACCTGCAAGGGGAAGTCCCTATTCCAAAGGAAAAGGCAGTGATTCAGCTGGCTTGGGGCAAGCTCAGAAAGTGTTTTGGAGATGGGTACAGAAACCTTAGATTTCACTCTGTATTCAGCAGGAGATGAGTTCCTGCGGCAGTTCTGTATTGTTGCATTATAGAAATTAAAACAAGTCTCAGGGGAGAGATCTGAGGTGGAGCCAAGGCATCAGTTTCTGTTCCTTAAACAAATTTGTTCCTTTTTCTGCATGACTGTAGACACACGACAATTCCTCTGGCCGTCAGTTCCTCCTGTGTTATGATTCCTACCAGACAGGATATTATGAGAATTAATTGCATTGAATGATTGTTCATTTGGACAGTGGGCAATTTTCTGCATGCTCAGGTGGACAGAAAAGGCGTAGAGCCTGTAGCTAAAAAAGAATATATCCACTGAGGCCAGTAATTTCAACACAGCATCATGGCTTATGACCCAGCTGGTCTGTTCCTACATCTCTACAACAGTATTCCTACAGTACTGACAGGAATTTATTTCTTGCTTATCTAGTGAGAAATCCCAAGACAGCACAAGATGTTGCATGGTAATTACATTTTCCTCAGTGGGATTACTGAATGACATGCTGTGATATATCAAGAGGCAACTGTGAATTTAACTTGAGTCAGCACAGTAGATTTTGCCCAGTACAGTAGGTTTCCAGATGAACATAGTGTGACTTTAAGAATAAAGGGAAGTTTCTGAATACCTTGTAACATCATGCACACTCTTGTCAGCATTGGCTTTCAAAACATGCATGGTTCTGGGCTGGCTTGGGAAAATTTCATGTATTCATTATTTACTCAGCTTACACATTCACTTCACTATTTAAGAACATATTGTTTGCAGAATGAATTCACAGCAGAAGATAACAGTGATATTCATTTGTCAGAAGAATCAGTCATGTCAAAATCAAAACTTACTTTTACTTTCTGTTTACTCTCTGGTGACACTAAATGCCTATTTCTTGAGAGTAATGGAACAGGTAAGCAACATACATGACTATTCTGTAAACAGGCTATTTAATCTCATTAAATTTTAGATAATTATTTGCCCAGTTTTTGGAACATGAGAACAACATGCAGCAGCAGATTGGCTCTGCCAGTTGTTAAAGAGATGGGCAGATTTTCACTTGTATCCCTCCATGGCTGTATTGTCTTCTGCAAGAAATGGTACTTGGGGAGGAAGAAGTGATAGAGACTGACACAAATTCTTTGTCTCACGTATTTACCAAGGCAGTTAAAATGAACAGAAATTCCCTTCTGTGGAAAAAAATTCTGTGGAAGATAATTTCCTTTTAATTTAGGTATTTGTGGAAGAGTTTTAGTGCACCATAACAACCTGTAGCCTTCATGCAAAGTGTGCAGCTTATCAAGTGGAAGAAGTCTTCCCTGACTGGCCATTCCCATTTCTGGAATGGACACCTACTTCACCGAGTTCTCTGTCAGTGCCAAGCCCAATATGCTCTTTAAAAAAAAATAAATAATTGTCCATAGCAACTCTGCATTGGAGTTTCAGCTCTTTTGGCCTCTTGGTTATGTTTTATGGTGGGAGCAACACTTTTAAAGTCAGTCATCCCTGCAGGGCACAAGAAGACCATACTCTGCTTTAGTTCCTGGGTAGATGAGCAGGTCAAGTACTTCAATCCCAAAACAATGGTGTTGATGTGCTGTAATGAAGGCTGAGTATGTTAGTGGCATATATCTTCAGATGCTCACCAGGGAGGTAATGCAGGTTGCTTAAGGTACCACAGAGGGAAGTTTCCCTCTATCCTCTGAATACTTCGGTTGAAGAATCCTACTCTCTCTATCCATTAATGCTATCATACATAGTCTATGCGGATATTTCTCCAAGATTAGGAAGACAGGCAGTATGAAGACCTTGATAAAGATTTTCTTTTTTTTTTTAGTTCTTGATTTATAAGCTGTTACTCCTTAAATTCAAAACAAGAAGCACTTTTTCCCCCAGCAATCCTTAGCCTCTTGCTTCAAGCATTATCAGACCAGTTGCACAAAATAATTTAGAGACACCTAAAAATGTTATGGTGTGGTTTGGAGGGTAAAATTTCTCCTCTCTTGGCCATGCCTTTGCCGTAAAGACCCGTCAAAGGCAAAAGAAAGTAATATGGCTGGTGTGAGCCAACTAGAAATTTCCATGTACTTGGCAGTAATTCCCTGGATAACTGGGTAAACTGGTGTTATAGCTGTATAAAAATATTGCATGAGTAACAAGACCTAAGCAAGGACAAGATATTTAGATCCACTGCGAAAAACTGCTGCATTTGTTAAGAGCACAGTATAGAAATTAGCATGTGTCCTGGGTTCAGCAGTAGCAGTCATTTTTCTCCTTCTTGGTAGCTGGTGCAGTGCTGTGTTTTGACTTTCAGCTCGGGAACAGAGCTGATAGCAATGTTTTGGTTTGGCCAAGGACTTTGTGAGCCTCATGCTCAGCCAGGGAGGAGGGGAAGCCGGGAGGAAGCAGAGACAGGACACCTGACCCAAACTGACCAAAGAGGTATTCCATACCACAGCACATCATGCCCAGGATGTAACTGGGAGTTAGCCGGAAGGGCTGAGAGACTTCAGGGTTGGAGGAGGTATCGGTCGGAGCTTGGTCGGGCTTGGGGGGCGAGTTATCGGTTGGCTGGTGATGAGGTGTTGTATTCTCTTCCCTTGTTATTTCCTTTATCATTGTTATCATTGGTAGTAGCAGTAGTGATTTGTGTTATACCTTAGTTACTAAACTGTTCTTATCTCAACCCGTGGGAGTTGCATTCTTTTCGATTCTCCTCTCCGTCCCTCCGGGAGCAGGGGGAGGGAAAGAAAGGGGGGGGAAGTGAGCGAACGAGTTACCTGTCTGGGTTACCTTACCTAGTTCATCCACTTGAGTGAGGAGAATCCTACCCTGTATTGTGTATTTTCTATGCTTACGTCAGACTAGTCTGAAAGACTCCAGGAACAAAAATCAGATCATTTCTGAGCAGTCCTTCCATATCTTGGTCAGGGCGTTGTACTTGTACATTATTTCTCCTGTATTCACTTTATTACTTTACATTCCACTTCCCTTTCACATAAAGAGAAGTTATTTTGTGTCTTTTTGTTTTGCATCTCAATCCTTTTTTTTTCGTCCAGGTTTCCTCTCATATAAAACCCTTAAACTCAAATAAGCCTTGTCAGGGGGGTCACTTATGGAAACACTGGTACATCCCATCAATAACTGAGCTTTGTATTACTTCTAGGATACTCGACACCTTGCAAAGTTATGCCGTAAATAGCTGTTGAACAACAGTTAAGGGACGAACAGTAAATGATTTATATTAAATTCCTCTGTGAAAGAGCTAGGAGTAAACAGCTTCAAGATGCTTTATCACACAAGATGCTTTGTTAGCATAAATTATTTCTAATCAAGTTCTTACATACTCCACCTGAGGCAAGTTTTCAACCAGTCATTGAGGTAAGGCTTAAGATACAAGGCTTTGACCACTCAGCCTGGGCATTATTACAGACCTGAAACAAACTCCTGGAGAGGTGGTGTATTTCTCACAGTATAACTTCTAGTAGATAGGCAACTTCTGTATTGCTTTCCATATCAGTGCCACAAATTAATTTTCATGCAGGACTGAATGAAAATATGTTACAAGAAGATGAGTAAATGCACATTTTCTAATGTTTTCAATCCAGCTCATTTTTTCAGGGTTGAATTTTCCATTGAATAAGCAGCAGTAGGCAATCACCAAATGAATTTTTTTTTTTTTGAGATTCAGAATCTTTTGACACATGAGATATGCATGATGGGGCAGCAAGCTGAGGGTTCACTGGGTGTCTGATTCATTATCATGGAGGTGAGCAAACCAAGCACCTGCATGGCAGATGAGAAGGGAGACTTCTGGCAGACAGTAGGAAGATGCCCAGCTGGAATATAGTTATGGACTTGCTGAAATGGTCCTGCGCTTTGGGAGTCACTTTGGATGGCATTCAGTTGTTTTTAGCTAGTTCCAAGGGGAAAATTATTATGTTTTAAAATGGCA